GAGAAGAGAGAAAGAGAGAGATAGAGAGACAGAGAGAGACGTCGGCCGGTCGTGGCCGCTCCGTGTAGTTTTCAGTTCCGACCGAACGACGGCGACTAACGGGAACCCGCACGCACCGTGACAGGCCCGGAGAAGACAAGCCGTCGTCGTCGACTTTGTACAATCATTATACCGTTCCGCCATATACGCTGACGCTGCACGTCGGCCGGGTTCCGCAGCTCGCACGCGGGTGTTAAACGGGAACGCCTCCGTGTAGTACGTACGCGCCGGTGGCGGACAGCCGCACGATTAAAAGGTGGGAGCACGCGGGAAAGCAACAGTGTTTAGCGAGCACACGAGTGATCGAGCGAGCAAGCGAGCGAGCCCGGTGCCGCTGGACGAGGGCGTTTTTTTCTCGACGTAGTGCCGGTCTCCGTTCGCCGGGACAGCGGAGTCGAGTCGATGGAACGTTCGCGGGGATATCGGGTGTCGCGTCGAGGACGATAGTAGGTCAGTGACGCAGGAGAGACCGATCGTCGATCTCCGTCTCGCCAGCTCGGCTGAGGTGTGGTGGGACCGGGATAAAGGATACGCCGCCAGTAGTTCCGTGATACATCGCTGGGAAAAGGAGATCGCCGCGCTGTACGGGGTTTCCGCAGGAAGAAGGGAGGAGCTGATTTTCCATCGATTTTTTCGAAGCCAGTGCGTCCTCATCCCGCGCCAATATATCGACGAGAATACTCGGCTCGACGAGGGGCGGCGGGGCGGCGGGGAGGCTCGTTCGTGGAACGGTGGTTTCGGCGGGCAGTGTCAGTGGCCGTCGCCAACAGGTTATACAGACGAGCCGGATGAGTATTTCGAGAAATATCGAGGGGAGAAGTTCGCGAGAGAGGAGCCGGTCACGCGCGCCGCCACTCATTCTCTCGGAGAATGAAGAAGAGGTATAAAAATATCTGTCCCTGAGCGGCTCGAGGTGAAATGCACGGCTGGCCGACCCCCGTGAACCAGGACATTCGACTCGGGGGTGGCGTGCGCGTTCCTATGTGACGGCGGGATACCGCGTACCGGAGGCGAATCCGATCAATCAGTCGCGGGAAGACAGCCACCGACCGTTCCTCGTCTCCTCTGGAGCCAGCAACGCATCCGCCACGTGCCTTCCTGGAGGTGTGCGTCGCGTACTCGCGAGGAGAGTCCTTCGTCCCCTCTCTCCGTGTGTCCGCCGCCGTATCCCGTTACCCCGTATCGGCCATGATACACGGGATCCACCGCCGTCTGCAGTGTCGTCGGGATTTCGCTGCGGAGAAACAGATCGCGCCGCGGATCGGGGGGCTGCTGGATCGTTCGCGGCGTCGGTAGAGGTTCCGGTGGTACGTCGGTGTGTGGCCTGGACCCTTACGAAGCGGAGCGCGCGACGAGGGAGCCCGGAGACGCGTGTTTTTCTCCACCCAGGTGGCTCGACACGGTGCGCGACACGCTCTCGTGGAAATGTCCGCGGAATGCGCTCCTACGAGACGTCGTCCGCTGTTCGCTCGCCCGGACGCAACAGGGAAGAAGCTTGACTGCGAGGCAGCGGGGCCGTGTCCTCCGAGGATCCACCGCGAGGCGTACGTCTTCGAGGCGAAGGCTCGATCCGTCGGCACGGAATACACGCGACAGCCTAGCGACGCGTTCAAAAGGGACACCGCAGCGTACTCCTGGTGCTGTCGTTCGCCACGAGACGTTATCCTCTGGCTGTGCTGAGCGGCCAACGGATGCTCGCCGCTGCTCCGGCCGGACCGTTTCGCACGTGTGCGCTGGAAGGGACGAGCAGGGGAGGAAGCTGATACCTCTGGAACGGAGGTAGACGGAAGTACTCGCGCACAAGCATATAACGCGTTCCCCCGTGGACGACACTCGACGTTTCCCAGATTCCCGGTGGTTCTGTTCTGGAATTCGTGGGAACGCGGTGTGGCGCAACGAATATCGCCTATAAATAGATGTTTTCTCGCCGGTGATTCGCACGTCTTGAACCGAACGGACATTTCAACGAAGATATACGCGTGTGAATACGGAGAGAGAGAGAGAGAGAGAAATATACGTGTACGTGTATATATACACGCGCGCCCACGTAGGCCGTCGAGCCTCGTGACACGCACGTTGAGACGACGCGAGGCCGACCTTCCCCGTGTCCTTGAGCGGACGGGTTTAAGGGATGGACCATAAGTTGTGCACCGGTACCAGGGACACGCGCTATCTGACCATTAGATATATCTAGGTAAACTGAAGAACTGGGTCCAAAAACACGAACGAACAAAAGAGAACGAGGGACGTCGAGCTGAGACATCCCCCGAAGCCTTCACGCGCGGAGAACCGCGCCGACACGCGTTCCACTCTGTCCAAGTATAATCAACGGTGTTAGAGGAGATTTTTCTACGATAGAGGAGATACGTCGGGAAACAACGATACACCTCGCAGCAAGAACACGCGGAAAACAAAGAGGAATAACAAGAGGAAGAAGAAGAAGAGGAGTTAGGAGTATAATAGTTCGAAAAGGAGGGACGTACCCCGAAACGGGAGGCAAAGGCCAGCAGCACACGCGTCACGCAACGTTTAAGTGGTACTTCCTTGGCGGCCACTTTTCCTCATTTATTATCCTCCCCTTTTGTACGTACGCAAAAGAAACCGAAACGCAAAGGAAGAACATCACTCGTCGTCCGAGCAGCAACGAATCTTCTCATCTCTCTGTCTTTCCTTATCTTTCTCCCTCTTTCTCTCTCATTCTCTCTCTCTCTTTCTCTCTTTCTTTCTCTCTCTCTCTTCCTCTCTCTGTCTTTCTCTCTGTCTCTCTTTTTCTGTACTCTCCTTTTACCCCTTCCGCTCGTCCACGCCTCCATCCTTCACACACACGCGCGTATACATAGGCAAGAACAAAGGGTTCAGGAACGAAAATCGTGAGGACACGTCGCCGTTATTAGCTGGTGCTTCTCTACATCTCTTTCTTCCCTATCCTCCCTTGACCCTCTGTCTATCTCATTCTTTCTGTCTTTCTTTCTTTCTTTCTTTCTCTTTCTTTCTTTCTTTCTCTCTCACTTTGTATTTCTATCTCTCTGTCCTCGATGATCATTATGCTCAACTCGTGCTGTGCTTTTTTCTACCGTGCTTGTACGCATGCTGCGAGTGTTTTCTCAGTGCTGTAGTGTTACGCGTTAATTATTACACAGGCTTAACGAGCCCACGTTCGAACGCCAAACGTTTCGTCGGCCCAGGTACCTGGGAATAGTCCTGAGATGCCTGTTAGACGAGGTCACGTGGCGCCCAGGACAACGATCATCGAAACCATCATCAGAAAGTTCGATACACACGGTGAGCTGCTATTTCTTCTGTTGTTCTTTTACGATGTTACAGTGGAAATCGAATTTCACACGGTTTTAATCCTGACTTCTGTCAATCTAGCTTTGAAAACGTGAAATCGCACATTGTTTTATCGCAAACTGTCGTTAACGATAGCAAGAGTGTGCAGTATTCAAAATGTTCTAAACGGAATTGTTATTACTAACAATCTAAAAGGTTACAATAACTATCCCTTTTACAATAGTCCAGTGAAAATTGAATTCCACACGGTTTTAATCCTAATTTCTATCAACCTATCTTCGAAAACCTGAAATGGCGCACTGTCTTCTTGTAAACTGTCGTTAACGCGTTGAACGCCGCACGATTTCATCGAGTAAAATACACAGAATGGAAAAAATGTAATATTAAATCATTCGATTGAATCGCATTATTATTGCACGTTGATCTAGCTGAAGGTCACCGCATTAGGTAGCATTATTTATAATATAGAAGTGAGTGAACTATAGTAATTCGATTTGATGACATTCTACGTGTTAAGAACGATAGCAAGAGCCTGCAATATTCAAAGTATTCCAAACGAAACTGTTATTACTAACAATCGGATAGATTACACATAATTATCCCAGTTACGAAATCTCTATCGTCGAGATCACCGAAATTTAGATATCCACGAAACATAATCTCCTCGAATCTGCTAATTTGAATTTCGCACACGCCGGTTAGAAAAAGAACGAGAGGAAACGCGAGCGAAAGTATCACCTGTAATCGCAGCTAATTCGGTAACAGGTAGAAAGTCGGGAACGCCGATACAATTTGCGTGAAACTCCGAATGCCCGTGCGCGCACGTGTACACAGAGACCCGGCCTACTGATTAATTTATCACGTGCAGTTTACACGTAGAGGGACACGATAACGCGGCTGGGGCCGCGCCGCGAGATGGAAAATTTTAATTAAAAACGGTAGTGGCCGATCGATCGTGAGGACGGTTCGACGTCCACCTTTTCGCGGCGCGTGAGCGTCCGCTTTGTCGATTAGGTTAACCCCTCGGAGGTCACGACGAGGAAAATTTCATCGTAGGTCGCGCATCTGAGAGATAGTTACTAAAAATCTACGCTGGAATGTTAACCCCTTGGCCAATGATTTCTTCCTCAACACTGATCGATACGGCTACTTTGTCATTAGTAATTTATTGAAAAAAGAGAAAAATTCTAAGCATATATCATGCCTATATTTCCTTTTAAATATAATAGTTGATTACAGAGGAATAATATTTACTTTGAATTCGAATTAACTAAGTAATATATTTGTTGAATTCTGTTGAAAATCTTCACCGCGAGTGTCACTCGTTCTTGTAGGACAAGAGGTTAACTCTTGCGAGCAGACGATATATAGCAGTAATATGTGATTATAGACATAATGGAAACTGCTGTTTGTAAAGAAATAGTAGAATGCTTCTATTTAACAAGCAATTAAACAAGGGTATGTTTACGATAGAGATTCAATAAAGATTGAACGACGGAATATACTCCTTTAGTACTAGGTTTACCTGAATTTGACGCATATTGAGTTTTATAAATACTATTCGGTAAATATTTACGTTGGCTGATTGATGCACCAGTATGGACCTCAGTTGTCTATTTTCAAACCTAACTCCTAAAATCCGAATAAACAGACATTTTTCTAGTAGAGTCAATCGAAATCCCCACAAACTCAATATTAACGCGTTCTTATGAAAACCGATAATCGCATGATTAGTCACCGAAACTTAATAACCGATTCTAAAGGATCAAAAATACGCGGTGTTATCGATATCCTCGACTCAACCCTTTGCGACGAACGTCGGCATTTTGCTGAGATCAAAGTTCCATGCCTGGAATATATATACCAAGTTCCGAACAAATGATTTAACTGTTCGAAGAGTAACAAATCGGTACACAGTTTCATTGTTCTCTATGATTTAAGCATTGAATGTTTCATTTAGCAGAATTTGCAAGAGATTTTGAATACCTTCAACGAGCTTCGTCCGCAAAGGGTTAATAAACATCGCTGTCGGCATGAACGCTTTGCAAAACAAGCTCACGTGTTCCTTTACATTAATCGTCGGCCAGGTCGAGTACCACGACTCTAAACGTGCCCCGAGACGAAATCGATTCGCTCGATCCCCTCCCGCGGATTCGATTCCCGGCTACTTTCGTACGGACTCTTCTTATTTTCATAATATCATCCGGGGCCGCGCGTAAAGTTTAATGAAAGTTCGCCGGCGCGCGGCCGGCGAGCACGGTTTCCGTTTTCTTCGCCGCCCCCGCTCCGGCGGAAGATTAAAATAAAGTTACCGGGTCCGAGAGGAGGATTGTCGCGCTGTTACTCCGGCCGCGCTTCCCTCTCTCGATATAATCGAAGAGTTTTTCAGAAGTGCTCCACCTGGTATATATGGGACGAGCAGGCATCGAGCCAGAACTCCGTTTTCAATATTATTTAAAACATCTCCGACGGACCGGGCGAAGCGGGCAGGGGCCGAGAGGCCGGGGTAGGAGAGGCGTATCTCGACGGTGGCGGTGAGGCTCGGTTAAACGGAGGAAAGGGGTAGTTCTGTTTCACAATGGGACAATGCATGTCACTGGCAATATCACTCGAGGCATGCCTCGAGTCCTCGAAGAGAGCCCGCGGAAAACCGGCCGGGGGGTGGGGGGGTGCTGCTGGCGGTCGGGGGCAAGAAGGGATTGATTGTGCAGCGGCGATTTCTTTCGCATTGTCGCGATCCACTGACGTCAGTTTCTTCGAGGAAGATTAGTGGCCCCGGAACGTTTTGACGGGGGCTGGCGGCTCGCTTTGTCATGGACACCACTCGACAATCGCTTTTATTTTCGGAGTTATATTCGCTTTTCGTTGATCACGGGAGTAACCAATGGGAACTGCTGATTTCTTTTAACCGTTAACATGCCGAGAGGTTTTCTTTTTGTAATTGTTCAGAGTAAGCATTAAATATATTTTAACACGTTGAATGCCATGGGAGTCACCAGTGACCCTCAGGCAAATCGAATTACTGTAGTCCATTCGATTAAACGGCGATTATCTGAAAACATTTGTGTATTAAAAACAATGCTTCTTAATGCTGCGACATTGAGCAAGACCAGCGCGCAATAAGAATAACGCGACTCAATCAAATGATTTAATATTATACCTTTATCGTTTTTGGTATTTTATTCTATGAAATCGTGCGTTCAACGTGTTAATGGTATGAAAAGTGCATCCGTTGGTACCGTTCCCTCCCTCGCAAGGGTGAATTGTTTTCCTGAGGACAACCATTTCTATTGCATTCGCTGAGCGTCTTTTTTTTTCGAGTCGTTCAGCTGTTCACAGTAAACGCTCGAGTAACGAACAGCGTTCCTGTTCAGTTTTGTAAATCACCTTCTTAAAATACATACTAATAAATGTATACTTAGTTTCACACCCTCTTGTGTTTATTTTAGCAAATATTCAACAGTAATACTCGCCTATAAGACGTTATATTATGGTAAATATTCGTTGTCAGTGCATGATCAAGAAAGTAATGATGTAATGAGTTGCAGTGTTTGATAAAGAAAACAGCGATGATAAATAAGTGAAAACTAAATTCTCCTCACGTCCCCTTATTGGGGCCTTTCGGCTGTTAAGGGTTAACACTGAATATCAAGTGAACTATTCCTGATTTCTTCCTTTGGAAATTATTATAGGAAACAGATATTTCTTCGAGGAATTATTACACGAATTGATTTGGCGATACGTAAATTGAATCGTTAAGGAATTGAAGTCTCGATAGATGCACTCTTGGAGTTTCTATAGAGGAATTTAAGAATGTTAATTTACTGGTTTGTAGTTTTAACGTTAATGCTAAACCTACCGAGCAGTTAAATTGACTTTCTGAAATTCCTGTATAGCAATTCCAAGAGTATCTATAAGAGACTGTTGTATTGCTGAATCGATTTCTTGAATACTTTCTCAGAGAAATGTCTGTTATCTTTTTAATAATTGCAACAAGAATAAATCAGTAGGTTTGGTGTTCAGATTATCAAAGAGCTGGTGGGTGTTTCTGGAAGTTACTAAAGGAATTGATTTAGTAATGTGTAAAGTGAATTGTAGTTGATTGGAATATTGATGGTTGCTTAGAACTTTTATAGGTTATAAAAAGTCGATTCGATCGTGTGATGCTTCTAGTGTTAATGCATCGTTGATGGAGCACAGGTTTGTTATTGAACGTCGAATACGATCGATTCTGAACGGATTTTGTTCCAGTGAATCTAATACGCTTGACGAGGTAGCAATTAGTGATTGCTAAGCTCGAGAGAATAGTTCAGTCTCCCCAGGATCGAAAGATCGCGGAACCATCGATGAGAAAATGGATGTCTTCGGTTCGGAAGTACGGGAGACAGAAATTTGAACTAAATGGCGGCGCCTAGATAAAAAGGCTATCTGACATATTTTACTGTGATGGCGTTTCTGTTTCATGCCCGAGAAAAAGCTGGCGCATCAAAGAATCCGCGTGGAGGTGACGCGTCGTAAAAGCTGTCGCAAGTAGATGATAAACTGCCGAACCTTTGTCTCGCATGCACGATCGAGCGACTCTTCCCGTCGATTCGCGTAACGCCGTCGTATCCGCGCGGATTACCGCGAGCAGGCGCAGCCAGTTTTATATTGAAATTAATTCCTATCGCCGTGAACGTGCGCGAATTCGCTGGATCGGCGGGATATACGGTTCAACCGCGCGTCCACGGTAAAGCTTTCGGGGATTAAGTACTTGAAAGAGTCACCGTGCTTCTTTACATAAAGGTTCCGGCTGGTGCCAACGGATGCGATTCTCGGCTAAACATTTCCCCGTCGCCGGAAACCGGGGAATCATCCGGGTATCTAAATTTCGAGAGGAAAACGCTCCGATCCATTTCGGAAGAAGTGCTTTGCCCGGCTGTTTCGTAGATTTAGCTTCAACCTTGACTTGGCTTCTACTTTATTCTAATTAACCCTCGACAATCCGATAC